CCCCACGCCGGGTCCTGAGTGTCCAATCACTCTGGATCGGTACGTCGTACTCTTCCTCAGAACTAATCATTATTATTTCTTGAGTAGTGATTTAATTTTAGAGTTTTCCTTCTGCTAGGCCGGTTGCCCACACAGGGCTGACAAGCCCGGCCTGCCCAGATGCGCTCTTGGTCTGGCCGCTCCCCGTGAACCTGTCTGGCAAGGGAGACTCTGCCAGGAACCGAAGTTCCCGCCGGCATAGCTCCACGGATTAACACGGCACTCAAGCTCCTCTCCCTCTCCATCTATAGAAAGAGGCCTCCATCCCGATGTCTCATCATATTTTCCTACGCCGAGAGGAGACCCTAACATACACTACCTCAATCCCCGGAACACGTTTTTAGGGATATGATAGGCGCACGCGTGCTGCATCACGGTAGTTTATAGTGAAGCGATGCAGTGCTCTCACTTAGCGGACGCCTGTATTGATGGCCAGACCGCCCATGTTCCGTGTGTCACCCGACGTGAGCCCTCGACACCACCGTGCGTTTCCTACGCGGTGTCCCCGGCACACGGCGAGACCTCCACCTCCGGCAAGGTAAGAGATGGAGGGCCAGCAATCCCGGGCGCCTCCGATCGCTCCTCCAAACCACTGGCGCGACTAGGAACCGGCAACAACACAGGGGTAAGCAAGCCCAAACCACCAATCAAGCCACGCTAGAAGTTCGGAAACATTTCGCCATGCTGCAAGATGTCTCCAGCCGCGGGCCGTTCTCCGATTGTTTATACAGGATGAGACTGATCCCTGTCGTGGTCACAATATCCTTCCAGACCGGTTTTTCCGGTTCTCGTGACCTCTACCCGTGTCCAGAGATGCCAGTTTGCGGACGCTAGCAACATGCAGCAGCAAGTGGAGGGGACACGTACACAAGCAAACAGCCACTCGCCGAGGCGCTGAGCGCACACGTATACGGCTGTTCACCTGTGTGCGTTTTGTCTGTGTATCCCCTTTACTTGCTGAGCATGCTGCTAGCGTCCGCAAACTGGCATCTCTGCCCGTGTCCCTGCTTCCGAGTTTTTATACAGAGAGAAGCAGACCCCGGGCGTGTTCCGTTTGACCACAGTACGATTCGACACCGATCGATTCGACACCAAATTATTGGACACAAAATTATTGGACACAGATTTATTCCACTTCCACCTTTCCCTCCACTTTCTCGCACTCTCTCTTACGCTCTCTCACATACACTCTCACACGGGCGTGTTCCGTTTGACCACAGTGCGAT